TATATATATATATATATATATCTTATACATATCTTTTCCATTAGAAAAATGGATAATATCTTTGGAAAGGAAGATTCTGGGGATGAAAAGGAAAGTGAGCATAAGGATGTGGAAGAGCATGAAGATAATAAAACTATACAAAATTCAGGATCCAAAGATATTGAAGCTATGGAGATTGATAATTTACAAGTTAAGGTATAAATACTGTCAAAAAATTAACTCTTGTTTTTTAAGGTGGTTCTTTAGGAAAATGCTGAAAATTTGGGGTGTCTCACTAGGGCTCGCTCATAATTACAAATATCTATATAATTTGAATAAAATATTAAAAATACATGTATATCTTAATGAAATAGTAGTATTGTAACATATGATAGTAAATCAAAAGCTGCATCTTCAATGAAAACAAGATGAGATTATATTTACTTTTTGAAATTAAATTTATATGCAAATTTATACACATAAATACCTTTTCAGAATGGAAAGTGAACTTATTATCTTTTTGTTACCATTAAAATTTTTTAAACTCATTCATTTATAATCTTATTTTGAGAAATGTCTATGATAAGATTTGTGTACAGTTAGTCAAAGAAGTTAGTTAGACAAAGAAGTGTCTGTTAGCCTTATCTATCATTAAATTATTGTATTAGATTTCAAAATTTTTTTTTTCTTATTTCATAGAATTTTGCACACATCAATTTCGATACTTTAATTTCATTATATAATATAAAAAAATTAGACATCTGATAACTCGATTTATTAAAAAACCACCTTAGATAAACTAATTGCATTATCTGTATTATATAGGCAGAATCGGATGCAATGAGTTCTCAATCGCAATCAGATGCTGAGGAAATTGAAAACACTGGATCTAATTCTATCTGTCCAGTTGCAGAGAATCAAGTAGAGACTGTGAAGCAAGAACTTGACATGAAGATAGAAGAACAAACTGCTGAAGATATATTTAGTAATGACATTATGATACCTCGTGCTAATCCAATCAGTACAAAAGAAAGGCGGGAAAGTAAAGAGAAGAGCAAAAAGGAAATAGAAGAAGAAGAGAGAGAAAAGATGCAGTATGTCTGATGTTTAATGATCACAATACAAAAAGGATGATTTGAAAAAAATCGTCATAAGTCAAAAAGGATAATTCTTTAAAGATTGAAATAAGAAATAAAAATGAGAAAAATATCACTGAATCATGTTAAGAATATATTCTCTTTACCAATATTGATTAATTAATAATTTTCTGCCAAGTTAAAAAATATTTTTCCTCTTTTATGAGAAATTTAATTTTTTTAATTATGTCACTTCTGAAGGGGATCATATTGTTATTGGATATTTAAAATATTTATATGCGTGTGCTTTTACATTTAATTTTGTTATATATAGCAGTTTTTATTATGCACTATTCTAATGTAATGCAAGTAACTGAATTCATTAAATTCATATACATTATCTTGAGAATATATTTGAAAATTTTTTTTAGGGTGCTAGTATCTAACTTTACTGAAGATCAGCTAGATAGATACGAAATGTACAGACGATCCGCATTTCCAAAAGCAGCTATAAAAAGGGTACGATATTTTAATTTTAATCATTACATGCAAAAAATAAAATTCTATTTTTAAAAAAGTATTTTATTAAACATTTCAGATTATGCAAACCATAACAGGTTGTTCAGTATCTCAAAACGTTGTTATAGCTATGTCAGGAATTGCTAAAGTATTTGTTGGCGAAATTGTTGAAGAAGGTAGGAGTTATTTTTTTGTAAATATTATTAGAATAGACTATTAGAATTTTATTCTAAATTATTGCGTTTGTCGCACAGCTTTAGATGTTATGGAGGCACAAAATGAAACTGGCCCATTACAACCAAAGCACTTGAGAGAGGCTGTCCGCAGATTGAGGTTACAAGGTCAAATACCGAATGGTCGGGCACACAAAGCTTTCTTCAGATTATAATTAGTTCCGATATTTGTAACATTTATTAGTTTAATGTTTCTTTTGCAGAAGTCTATCGACATTAGATGTCGGTAATAAATATAAATGTCGATAATCTAAATATAAATTATAATTTGCTCAGATTAAAGTTTTTTAAGTTATTCTATCTTCATAATTCAAAGCATTATCTATTTCGGCTAAAGTTAAAATTTATTTATATGTGATAAATGTACATTTTACTAATATTTCATCTTCAATTTTCTAATTTTTCATTTTCAAGTAGATAAAATTTAACCTTAGTTATATATATATTTTTATATCGCAAGAAAAAATGATCTCAAAAACATACGTTTTTTTAATATACCTATTTTGTGACTCTCAAATTTCAAATCGAACTATCGAAAATATATTTAGGATAAAAGTTGTTTATCTTAAAATCCTGGACCAAAATGCTCTGCTAAACATATTTTTTCTTGCATTTGTTTTCGAGAAATTCCGCAAAAACTTTTCTGAGGGTAGTTTAAAAAAAATAAGCAATAAAGAGGGAAGAGTCAAAAAATTATTCTAACTAATTCTAATAAAAATCTCACTATTGTTAAGGACATATTAACTTTTTTTTTATCTATTTATCAAAGACATATTAACTTTCTTTTTGTTTAATGCTTGAACAATATTGGAAATATTAAGAATTTAACCATTTTAACTCCAAAATTATCCTTAATTCAATTTAATTTTTCAATTTAATTTTTTTCTGAGATTAATTCCCATTTCAGATAGCCAAGTTGTAGAGATAGATTTTAAATAGAGTATACTATCAATTTCTGATAGTAGAAAGGCTACAAGTTTCACATAGAGTATCTGACAATGTATGTGTATGTATTGGCAAATTGAGAAATATGCTTATATATGAAAAATAGCAAAGCTTGCTGACATGTTATGCTAGCAGATTAGCAGCAGGAAACAAGATTTGCAGCTCCTGCTCAGTTTCTGTCACCAATCTGATTATGTGAGCAGATTTCTGTCAACAGACTCTCGACGGAAACAGAATGCGCCTGTAGTCAGTGGTTGTCTTTGCTTATATTTCTAATCAAATCTGTTGTTAAAAATAGTCTGCCGACATTTTGCTTATTGGGATCATGTAACATTGTTTGGCAAATAGTTCAATTCAAAAATCGAGAGTCATAAAATGGGCTAAATTTTGGGGGCATTTTTTATTATATAATGATTATAAATTTTAGATTGTGAATCATCATTAACACATAGACTAATAGAAACATTTGTTATTACTGAGTCTTCATGCATGCAATCATACAATACATAGATTCATATTTTGGAAGTTTCTTGAAATAGTAATGCATCTTATGATAGGGAAGTTTGATGATAACATTTAATTGTATTTGTATATACAATCAAGATATATCATAATGTATAGTCTTTTTCCATAAATCATTATGTATAATCTTTAAATAGAAATGTAATGTTGCGCATTTTTAAATAGAAATATAATGTTTTATACTATGTTTTATACTAATTACTGCCACATTGAACTTGTTTATTACCTAATTATTAATATATAGTTTTACGTAAACTTTTATAGTTTAATTATCAAATCTCTAAATAAATTGTAAGAACATAATTATGTGTAAACGTATGAATATTTTGTTTTTTTTAAATAACGACAAATTATATATAATTATGAAACATTCACAATTAAGGAATATTTTGAAATAAAAGGAAAAGAAAAAGAAAATATTAAGAAAAGCATATTAGAAATATAGCAAACTACAGAATAA